CTGGGAACTGAGCTAGCCCTCCTCTCCTGTCCCACCCCCACAGTCCTGTATCAGTCCACCTATTTGATAACCAGCCAATCTCAGGGCCAGAGGTTGTGCTGAATTTTTGCACACAGGATCAATTTTATGTAATGCACAGGTCCCTATAAAGCAGGTATACATTCAGCAGGGAGAGTATTGGGCCTGAAAGTCTGTGAGGCACCCCAGGTGTTTGAGGGATGCTGCCAGACCTATTATGGCAGCAGAACAGGGCCTGACTGTCCCAACCTTGCACCTTCTGTCCCTAACATATCTTTCTAGGCAGGCTGAACCCCTGGGGAGTCCCTGGAAGAATGTGGCTCCCCTGCCTCCCACTGCTCTACAGCAGCAGCTCTTTTCTGCCTTTTCCTACTGGCTGTTCAGCCCTCAGTTTCTTTAGAAATCCAGGTTCCACTGAATTCTCAAGAAACATTCTCCATCCATTTTTTCCTCCAGTTTTTATTTAAATTAGAAACAAGATTGTTTTACATGTCAATCCCAGTTCCCTCTCCTTCCCCTGCCCCCCTCCCACTAATACCCTACCTATCCCATACCATTTCTGATCCCCAGGGAGGGTGAGGCCTTCCATGGAGAGTCTTCAGAGTCTGTCATATCCTTTGCAATAGGGTCTAGGCCCTCCCCATGTGTCTAGGCTGAGGGAGTATCCCTCTATGTGGAATGGGCTCCCAAAGTCCATTCCTATGCTATGGATATAAGTACTAATCTACTACAAGAGGCCCCCTAGATTTCCCAGGCTCTCCACCCATTTTTAAAAGTGCTTTATTCATGCTCTGTCACTGCATTTGCTGAGTGGAGAGTGTTGCCCTCATGACTTTCTGAAGGGCTTCAGGATTGGAGATAGCTACAGAGCACTGCCCTCAAGATGGTCCCTCAGCCCATTCCACCTATGTCCTGCTGAGAGTCACTGTAATGCCACCACCACCACCACCACCAGGGGTGCATATTGCTGAAAACAAAGATTGCCTATAAGATACCAGGCTGCAACCATGATTGCCCCTAAGTGGGATGTCCTTAGCAGCAAACTCTTGATCTGGAGGGTAACTTAGACAAGTGACCCTGACTTCCTCACTGACTGGCTCTCTTTACAGGAGTAGAAAATGGTACCAGTCAGGTCAGAGCCCTGGGAGCCCACAGTCACTGCTGCAGGATGGAGGAACCCACTCCTGAGCCAGTCTATGTGGATGTGGACAAGGGGCTGACCTTGGCTTGCTTCGTTTTCCTCTGCCTGTTCCTCATAGTCATGATCATCCGCTGTGCCAAAGTCATCATGGACCCCTACAGTGCCATCCCCACATCCACCTGGGAGGAGCAGCACCTGGATGATTGAGACACAGAACAAGTCACAGTGTCCCAGGATACACCTCGGCATACCCTGGCCAACATCCTGCAAGCGCTTGGAGGCTGGGAGTGGCTATGGCCACCCAAAAGATGGAGAAGGTTCACTTTATTGGCTCTCATATGACCACCAGAGAGAAATGCCAGCATGCTGGAGGCAAGGCAGCTTGAGGAAGCCTGGGGAGAAGAATGCTAAGCCATGACTTGGGCAAGTGGGATCCATCCTGGGACTCCGCTGGGAAACTAAAGGGTGATGGTACCCGCTGAAAGCCCAGAACTCCTACCCACAGCCTAGCAATCGACGGACAGAAAGGATGGAAAATTCAGGGAGCTTCTCCTGCAAATTCTCACAAGGCACACAGCTACTTCCAAACTTTTTTTTTAAACCAAATTATAGAGGGATATATTTTTCCTGTTAAAACTGAGATGTGCATTTTAGACACTTGGGAAAATGTAGAAGAAATACAAATATAATAAAAGCAAACTATAAATAGGAGGAAGGGAGGTGAAAAGCACTTATAATCCAACTTCCCAGAAGCCATCATTTTGATATATTTCTTCAAGTCTTTTTTACAAGAAATTTTTTAGTCATTCACACCATATGCATGATGATGCATTGATAGCTTGAATACTTTCTGCCTGTCAAGACATCACGGCTGTTTTCAGTGACTGAGGGTATACTGTGTAGGGCATGACTGAATGTAGTCCTTTTCTTTCTCTATTTTATGCTTTCACA